TTCCTCAGACCTTTTGTTGATTTCACAACCAGAATATGAAGCAGAATGTTCTCCACGACCGTTAGAGCATTTTATTTTAGCTTCTTTTCCACATTTTCCGTACTCATGCTCTCCAGCATACCTTCCACATCGCTGTTTTCCTTTACAAACTGCTGCTATGTGTCCGAATTTTTGGCATTTGAAACATCTCAGAGGTGGTGGATTGTAGATTTTGACATTATAGCTGATGTAACCAATGAACACTTTGCATGGTAATTGCTCTTCCTCGAATTTACATAAATAACACAGATAAACTGTCAGATTCCTCTCCGTTTCTTGTTGTTTTTAACCGTTTTCTTTTACTTTTGCACCACTTATGTTTTCTATTATCTTTTTTTTCAGACACTCTTAGAGGAACTCCTCCAATGACTCCCTTGCTGATCTTTTTGTTCTCCACCAAACTGCACTGAACTCTCATCCCGTCAATTTTGTTGATCCGAATGGCTTTGCCTTGCTGGGCGCTGTCTCTGCAGTTGATCAACAGATCTCCACTGTACAGGATTCTGGCACCTCTGACTTTTCCTACAAGTTTATTTATGGTTTTTGTCAAGTGAACCGGATTCCAATTTGTAAAAGAGTCTGCCTGATTAACTAGTTTGAATATGACTTTGTACTCATTTTGTTTTGCTGTGGAATTTATGGATTGATCATCACATGAATGTTCAGAACTGGACTCCCCTTCAACTGATATCTGCTTTTTCCGCTTTTTCTCATTTTTTGAGGCTACCCTCTTCCAATCTTCTTCATTGTCACTATTTCCCTCTTCCATCCCACAAGAATCGCTTCCTGTTTCCTCGCTACTCACGGCCATGGACATTTCATCACAAGCAACTTCGAAACACGCGCCATGCACCAAACGACCACCGAAGTCACCCTTCTCATGTTTTTTAGTGGCGGATGGCAACCAACTTAAGGTGCATTTACCGCCACCAACCAGACTGGAGTGTGGTTATCAATGATGTCAGAGGGATGTTATTAATTCATATCTCAATGGTATGAACAAATCTCTATTATCTATCAATCAATATCTACCCAAACTCACATTAATACGAGTGAATATTCACATGCATATACACACTTATATTCTTTATTTAAATATGATTAAATAATCCAGTGTTTTTTTTTTTATCTAATTAACTGATTTCTAGCAGAATTCGATGTATTTCCTGGAAGGTCTATCATTGAAAATCCATTTTTTTCTCTATTTAGTGTTAACTTTAAATGCTGATGTTCCTGTGAATATTTATTACATTCCATTAGTACATGTTCCACTGTTTCTATCTGATTACAGTGATTACAAGTCCCTGTNAACACCTTTGTTTCTAGATGTTGGAGCTTGGCCTGTTTTCCAGTGTAGTCCTGTTTCTCTGACTGTGACTAACTGGATGTGCTCTCTTTCATCTTATTCACCACCTACTCTGAGGTTCTGAAGGTTCTACCCCTTTTTGCTTCGAAGTTCATCGGCCAATCAGACTCCGGAGAGTCTGGCCTGGTCCGGTATCACAGAGACCGACCCATCAGAACCTTACCACCCCAAAGGAGGTCAGAACCACAGTAGACCTGTAGAAGAAAACAGGCTCTAAAGGAACAAGGGCCTCTGGGCAAAGATCTGCTACAGATCTACAGATGTATAGAATTATAGATCAATAATCTATAAATCGTGGATCTATAATCTATATATCCATAGATTTACAATCTAGAGATCATAGATCCATAGTCCATAAATGATAGATCCTTAATCTCTAGATCCTTGGAAATCTGGATCATAGATATATATATCATAGATCCATTATCTATAGACGATATATCTACAGCCCTAAATCTATAATTTATCTATGGATCTACAATCTATACACCATACCTCTATGGCTCCATAGATATAAACCTATGACCTATGGGTTATAGATGGGGGCGGGGTGACTCACCGAGGCATGTGGGGAGGGTCCGGGTGGGGGTGGATCCATGGCCGCCGTTCATGTTAACTGAACACGTGACATGGAGGAAGAGCGGGGGCAGGTCTGGAACCAGAACCTCGGCCTCCAGTAGAGACTCTCCGTCCAGGATGCTGAAGGAGTCCTGGTCCTGGTTGACCGTGTTGGAGTCCGACTGGGAGCTGGTTCCTGCCTGCTCCTCGTACGCCACCTCCAGGTCCGGGTCGCTCTCCAGCAAACAGGAGCCGCATGCGTTCTCTAGAACCACAGAATTACAAGGTCATCCCCATGGCAACGCCTGCTGTGTGATCTCAGACAGGACTTGATTCTGGACGAAGACGGAGCAGAACCACCCTGGACCCAGTTCATGGGCTGGGGGGTTTGGACCTTCATCTGGTCCAGAACATCAAAACATCATCAGTTCGCCTGTGAGCTACAGGAAGAAAAGCCCTGTCGGTCTGGTTCAGGTCCAGAACGTAGACTGGACTGCTACAGAACCGACTGGACCGCTACAGAACCTCACCTTCCTCACTGGTGGGCTCGGCGTCTGATGTCGGCTCCTCGCTGGGCGTCCTCTCATGGCCACCGTCCTCAGAGTCCACCTGGGCAGAAGAGAAAATGATCATCCTGCAGATCCCCGGCAGAACTGTGTCCTGATCTCAGCTGGGTTAGCAGGTCCGGTTCTACGGTTGACTGGATCTCACTCACCTCCTTCTGGGCCGACAGAGGACAATAGAAGTAGTAGTGCGGGTTGGACGGGACGCTCTTAAAGTGCTGAGACAGGATCCTCAAAAACTTCTCCTGTAAAGACATTAGTGCAACAGTGAGTGGTCCAGAACCATTCGGACCAGGCCTAAAGCCCATTTCAGATGGGATCTGGACAGAACCATGCTCCACCTGAGGAAGGTCATTACATGTGGAACCTCAAAGCTGCTTACCCCGTCCCGTCCAGAACTCAGAGGACCCAGAGGTCTGGTTCTGGACAGGACGCATTCCCTGCACAGCATCAGGGCAAAGGAGCTGGTTTTTGTTCCAATCCTCTAAAGTCTGTGACATGTAAAGACTCACCTGAATGATTTTGTGCAGGTCTGGGTACACGTCACACCTAGGTTCCGTCTGCAGCAGGGACAGAGGAAAGGCTGGGAGTTTGGGATCATCCTGGTTCTGCTGGGAAGCCTTCCCTTTAGATTCACCTTCAGAACTGTCTTCAACTTCACTGCTGCTGAGGGGATAAAAAACAGTGGATTCAGCTACAGTCAGACTGGGAACGATTTTCAGCCCTGGCATTTTTTCATCTCCACTTTACATTTACTGGCTTTAGTTGCTGCTGCTGCGTGACGTCCCCGCTCGCACGAAGCCAGCCAGACACCCACTCACACATACTAGGTCTACAACATTAGCCCAAGTGTTTAAAATCACCAACATAACACAATACAATCTAGAGGCAGACAGGCGGTTCTTCAAGAATGAATCCATGAAAGCTCAGCGGTGTGTCAGCGTTCACTGCCAGTCTAGGTGGCATGTGGGCAATGAAATGGAATAATGTAAACAGATGCAAAACCCCATCATGCACTGCAACATACAGTCTGCACCAAACATAAGCTGCTCGATAGATGGCCTGACTGTGATCTTCAGGTCTTCATTATGGAGATTTCTGAGGTTTGAACTGGTTTTGATTTGTTGACTAGGACAGGTCAGTCCTTTCTGTTAAATTGGAGCTTAATGAGGCCTGCAGCTCTCCTTCTGGAGCCAGCTAAACCCAATACTGCTACTACCTGTTCTCTGAAGTTGAAACATCTGAGGAACCCTTTCTATCTAACCCTGGTCCTGCATGCAAGCTGCTTTGTGTCTTACAAGCTTTTTTCAGCTGTTTATAGATGGTTCTGCTGAATTTAAGCAACTCGACCAACGGCTGGAAAAGCAGGAAGCCTCTAAAATGCAGGGCAGAGATGCTGGGGACTGCCACTATCAGAGCTCACCTGCAGGAGTTGGCTACGCCTGTGCTGGTTTTAGTGGGCATCTCGTCCACCGGTCCGATACTGAAGGAAGGCATTCTTCTAAGCTGTGGACCTCCTCCAGGTCTCTGAGTCCTGCTTCTCTCCTTAAAGCCCCTGATGTGACCACATAGAGTCTGAAGGAAAGCCGTGATGTCGATCTCCTGAAGTGACTCTTCACAGTAGTCCATGGCCAGGAGGATGTCTGGGGAGCTGATGCTGCAGGCCTGCTGCAGGCTGCGGTACACACCTGAGACACAAAGGCTCCATCAATCACTGAGTTCCAGTTAGACCAAACACCCTGAAACCAGCTGAAATGTTCTGGTTAACAGTCTGGGTTTCAGCCCAGAGGCAAGCAGCCAGAGGTCCCATAAAACTACACATCCAGCCTGTGGACAGGACTCACCTCTAACATAACTCTGGTGGTAGTGCTCCTGCAGCAGGCTGCAGTAGTTGGCCAGCTCCTTATGCTTCTGAGGATGAGACAAGATGTCTGTCCAGCTGGACAGACCACTGCGGTCCTGAGACAATGACCTGCAGAAGGAAAAACATCCCTAGCTGTGACGTCATGTCTGAACAAAAACAGAGAAGTACTTAGAAAAGGAAACCTTCTAGCCTGGAGGGCAGAGCAGAGCTGGTCTGAACAGCTCCTCATTTTGATAAAAGGTTTAAGTCCTTAAAATCCTCCTTCTCACATATAAAGCCTTAAATGGCCAAGCTCCATCTGATATCAGAGATCTGATTGTTCCTTATGTTCCTAACAGAGCACTT